GTACTACAAAATACCGCACATAGAGCAAATTCGAATGATAATTTTAACAATTGGGCTGGTTGCTGATTAGAAATTTTAAAAATCTTTTCGAATGTAAGATAGAATACAATAATAAGGCGAGAAGTTTATTCGTAGAAACTGAAACGGTATGAGAAATGATAACTCATTGTAATTTGATTCTGAGGGGGCTCAATTATTCGGAAAACTCTTAAAGTTCAGAAAAGAATTCTCTATCGAAGAATATTCAGAAAAATTTTTCCGAGAACTATTTGAAATTTGAGATTGAAGTTTTTCAACATCAATGGAACACCTTCGAGGATAAGATTTTTTAGATCCATCACATTTGAGTTTGAGTTTCCGTCGTCATTTCAGTGCTTTCGTTCACAATTTTCGCCAACTCTTTTAGAGCTTTTGTTGGCGAAAGAAATTATACTTCGGCACTAACACTTTAAGTTAGAGCAGCATAACACTTGGAATTACAATATCATATCAGCTAGAATTACAGGATCACATCGTGCCATACTGAATGTACCATTTCAATGTGATATTCAGTTATACCACAACAAGAATGCTTCCTCAGTGAGCGATTCAGCCNATATCGCTCGTTCCTGAAACGATTATTAATGAATCATGGTTATAAAACAACAACCAAATTCCTGACGACTATCGGATGTTTGGAATATGATGAAGATTGAAAGATCAATTGCTGCTTCTCTAGAATCTTTTCACAATTGCTATTTTCAGTTTAGTACCGTAACATTTGAAGATATAATATCACATTTTACTGCAAAAAAATACCACTTCAATGTAATATTCATTTTATCTGATTATGAAATCAAATCAATCAAATAAATGAATAGACTGAACGGATAAATCGAATAAAAAGCTGAAAGATCACCTTCGTAAGTGTTAACAGTTTCGAGATTGCACATGTGCCGCATAACATGATAATCCTCCACAATACCATTGCCACCGAGCATGTCTCTGGCCTTACGTGCGATTTCCAGTGATTTACCGCACGAGTTACGTTTGATCATTGAGATCTGTTGCGGTGAACATCTACATAAAAAACTGCTTTTAAACAAACTTATTCAACAATTTTCAACGGAAAATGCAGACTGCAGTCGACATTCGAACTTATTTAAGGATTCAAACCAAAAAATTAATGAATAAGGTAATTAATGAATGAATAATGAAAGCTGAAACTGCAAACAATGAATAAGTCAGAAATTATTAAATTTAGCAGCGAACACATAAAAGAATAGTCGAAAAACACTGACTTGTTCTCATCCTTCAGACGTGTCACACGTAAACAGGCTTGTAGGCCAAGTGAAATCTCAGTCAACATATCTGCTAATTTCAACTGTATTAATTGATGTTGCGCTAGTGGTTTACCAAATTGCGGCCTGAAATTTCGATGAAAATCTTGATGGAAGTCTAAAAACCATTCATACTTATTGGATGGTTATATTCCACCATTCTATTTTATATGTGATTTATCATCAATATGCAATTGCTGATTACAGACATCACATCGCACAAGATATATTTGCAGCATTTTGAGATTAGAGCATTTGGAGTGACGAAGTACAATCGCAATAAAATTTTGTTTTCTGGTCAGCCATACATCTGCAGTTGATTGTGAGTAATCAATCCAGATTCGGCTTCTAAGCACAAAAATTTGGAATTCGAGATCTCCAAAATTATGATCTGTTAGAATCATACTAGTTTGAGCGAAATACTGTCCAGTTAATCAAGAAATTGACCCATACTTCTTCAACAATATCATTATTCTTGTCATTTGCTTGTTCCTTTATTACTTTATTCATTGTCAGATATCTACAAACTTCTGTTCACATACGGCATTCAATCTCAACTCATTTAAAGTTCAACACTGATTACTCTCTGATCAAAATTTTTCCAAGCGATCTCCACCTTCTTTACAGTGACGTTTCACGCCGATGCTTTATTGGATACATACCCACCCATAAAATTAATGTCTTTTCAAATGCGTGATAAATTCATTGAGATATCGTTTCCTCTAAACAGCAGTTATGAATCTTTAAGGACTACGTCTCTCTGAGATCATTGCGAATCATGACTGACTGCTATGAGTATTGTGACGTTGTCATAGAAACATGAAAGACTGCTGATTATTACTTGAGTTCGTTTGCTCACACATTATGATCTGTATGCTTTTATTGCTTTTAGCCGAATATTAGCTAAATAATCAAGAAATTAAGCGATTGTACTTTTTCAGCAATATCACCATTCGTGTCCTTTATTACTTTTATTATCTCGGTTCGTTCGAAACAATCGATTGTTTATATCCGGGCATTGAATTCGTTGATTCTTGAATGTAGCTAGCTGTA